GTTGCAGCAAACCAAAAGAAATACATGATCCCATTGCTTGCAACATTGCTAAATTATTCAATTATTTTAGTTTTAGTTTTTTCAACAAACTGTGGTCAGTCTTGATAAACCTACTTTTCATAACTTTATAACTTGACGATTCTATCGAACCTGTGTTTTTTGGATACAGTTGTCACAAAAAAGAAGATATTTGGCTCAATTTTAACATTATTGTATCAATTACTGTCCTTGTACGCTGAAGCTCTTTTTTCTTTTCTTTAATTTAAAATTAGAAATATTTGTAGTTTTTTGTAAACTTATTTTAATATTCACCATCAGTGTAAACAAATATTTATTTATTTACACTTTTGCTTAGGTAGGGTAGGTTAGGTAGGTTAAAAAATTTACATGGCAAAAACGGGAATAAATAAAAAGAAAGACATTAAGTTTTATAAATAATATAAATAATATAAATAATATAACTCCTTGTTGTGCTCCTGCCCATGTATGTAGATTGTATATTGGATAATCGTTGAATGTTTGTACTTTATGATCCATAGAATCCAATCAGAAGTAATATATTTCAAATGTCCTTCACTCTCCTTCTAATATCTGCTCTCCAGGGCGGCATCTTTTGACCCCCCCCCCCTTCATCTAAATCTGTTGAAACGCCTTGGAATTTAGTTCATCCTCCTTCTTCAATATATTTTACATCCGGCCATCTTGTTTAGACCAAAAAACAGGGTATATATTGATCAATTATAGTTTGAAAACAGTTTCAACTTTTTTTTTTAAAAATCCAGAAGTGCCTGAGTTAAGGTAAAGAGTGTTTTTTTTATCACCCCTGAGAAAAGATGCCAAACATGCTAGACTAAGAACATGCTAGACTAAGAACATGCTAGACTAATAACATTGGTTAGAAAGATATTGAAATTACAAATCGACTTTTTTCTCCTTTGTCTTACTATACATTACATCCTCGTCAAAATATGAGCGTTTTTCCGTAAATTATGGTTTGCTGTTGATCTTGTGAACCGTCTTCACTAATTTGCGATAATTTGCAGATCGTTAAAAGGAAGTGCGTGCAAGTTAAGTAAGCGCGAAAAATGTTGAGTAAAAATATACATTTAACATTTGAACAGTTGAATAGTTATAAAACATTAAATTCAACCATTTGTGGCCTAAAACCAATTCTGTTAAATATTTGGTTGGACTAATTAAGCAAATAAATACCTAAATTGTCTAAATTTGCAGGTTAACGATCTATCAGTGTCTCCTGTGAAGTCTGGAGTACAGGCCCAGGCCCAGGAGATCCTATACAGGGTTTCCCAATAAGCAGGGGAATTGAGAGACAACTTGAGAATTGTCTTTCGTTTTCTGATTGAGAAGAAATAACAAAAATAAATCTATAACTTTGCAAAATGTGGTCTACAGTCGTAGTTTCATGCATAGTTGGGTCAACCCAGACCGAAATATATTTTCAATAAATGTGGAACTAACATCAACTGTTTTTGCTCTACAGAGGTTTAATTCATTACCATCACCGAATTTCATGCAAATGTTAAATATTTTTAGTCAATTTTGATTTTATTTAATTAAAACAGGAATTCTGACAAATATTAATATTACAGACCACATTTTGGAAATCTTAGAAGACAAATAGTTCCCGTTGTCAATTGTTAAAAGTGTAATAATATTTTTAGGCGTCATTTAATTATTATGTTTATTAGGACTTGGTAGTTGTCGAGACCATTTATTTTGATTCCCTGGATTACTGAAAATACTAACATGCCAGACTAAGAACATGCTAGATAAGAACATGCTAGACTAAGAACATGCTGGACTTTTCCCCCGGCTAAAAAGGAACCACAAATATTTTTCTCACGATAAACAGTTTAGTTTAGTGTTAAAAAGTTAATATAATATATCTTTAATGCTCAAACTATCTAATGGCCAAAACATAATTTAAATTTATTTTTCCTTGTTTGTTTTTTCACTCTGCAGTGTTTAAAACAAGATTATTTAGTTTTTATTTCAAATTTAAGTTTTCATCCAGGAACGGACTAAATCAATATCTCTCGGGGGAGGGGGCATATTTTTTTGGGCCCCCTAAAAATTGAACAAAAAGCAGTGAATTTCAAAGTTATTATTTATTATCACAGTTCGAGATTTAAATATCAAAAATGAAACATCTTTATTGAGATCGATTAAGCATAATGGTATCTTATCGGTAATTAAGAAATAAACAATTAAGTCGTTTTTCAGTTCACAATTTTAATAGGAATTTTAACTGTTTACCAATTTAAGAAATTTTTCATAAAAAAAAACAATATGGAACATTTTAGTTGCATTTTTAACATTTTTACATATCTAATCAAAGATAATAATGTTGGTGATTATCTATTCTTTTTTTAGCGCTTACTAATAATTTAATAATCCTTTTTATTACGTGTTTAATGAATTCTTACAGTGATAACTAGAAAACGACTTTTCGACTCAAGTTAGGACTTAAACTAATTTAATGAACATTATACATAGCAATTGTACAAGGTAAATAAACCCTTTTCAATTCAAGTTAGGACTTAAACTAGTTTAATGAACATTATACATAGCAATTGTACAATGTAAATAAACCCTTTTCAACTAAAGTTAGGACTTAAACTAGTTTAATGAACATTATACATAGCAATTGCACAAGGTAAATAAACCCTTTTCAACTAAAGTTAGGACTTAAAATAGTTTAATGAACATTATACATAGCAATTGTACAATGTAAATAGACCCTTTTCATTTAAATTGTGCTTTGTTAGTTAAATATTTGCTGTGAAACAATATCAAAACGCTTTTTATTCCATTGTTTTCTGGTTATCACTGTAAGAGAAAACAATTTTAAAAGGTATTTTGGTTCAGGTCATTTGTTCAATACTATTTTCGTTGTATCTTTCATCCCTTGATGCTTTTATTTCATATCATGAATTTTCTGGGTCATCCTTGATTGCCTTAAGCCAATGTAAGCTTTGTAAGACACAAAACAATCTGACAACAAAAAGTTTTAAAAACCAAGATAAAAAGATGGAATGATTTGTACATCCTCCTGGAAAATTTTAATCAAATTGCGTCCTTTTATGTTAAACCAAAAAAGTACTTACATTTATATACACTCTACACACATTCACATATACACTGTACGCTATTCATGTCAATTTAAAGTAAATTTTTAGTTAAAGGGAGGGACCGGCTATGTAAGGTAGTTGAACTATAAGTGTTGTGGAAAACTTCTTTTGGATTCATTTGAGACATATTAAACTTTTTAAAGATCTGTAAATCCTGAGTGTGAGCGCAAATTCGACGTTCAAAACTCCTACTTTGGGGTGGATAGGTTTTCAGAATTAGTTTTTTTTAAATTATTAAATAACTAGAACGATAAATAAAGTAAAAATTATACAGTAATCTAATTAGATGGTTAGGAACATATTTCTCAAAAGAAATTTGTCAATAAATCAATGTTAAATCGATTATTTCGTTTTCATTATTATATTGAATTTCTAATGTTCTTTGAATTTATTTGCTGATATCTTCATATACTTCAAATATCGTCTTTTCAATAATAATTCTAAAAAATCTGCGAAAATCTTTGTGAATAATGAGATAATAGAAACTAATAATTGAACAAAATTACTTATTTTTGATGATAAGATTAATTTTATTTTCTCAACATGTTCCTAAACATGACGTCTGTAGTTTATTGTAGAACTTTTTTGCATTTTAAGTTGTCATTATTTAATAATTTAAAAAAAACTAATTCTGAAAACGTACCCACCCCCAAAGTAGGAGTGTTGAACGTCGAATTTGCGTTCAAACTCAGGATTTACAGATCTTTAAAAAGTTTAATGTCTCAATGAATTCGAAAGAAACTTTACACAACACAGCATTCTCAGTTCAACTACCTTACATAGCCAGTCACTCCCTTTAAATAAATTAAAATCTTACATGTTTTTAATCCTTTAATTCCTGTTATTGAAGAGCTATTGAGCACAACAAAAATGTCTAAAGTTTGTAATCAAATAAAGGAATTGCCCCGAACTCTGATTTTCTAAACCCTATATCTGTCGTAGACCTTAGATATCTAAAACTATGAGTTTTTGTTAATCCATTTAATCCAAGTTTGAAATATCAAAAGCATACACCAACAGTTTGAAAAGATATAAGGATTAGAAAATCAGGGTTTGCCCTGTGACAAAGACTTCCTTTGCTTGTCTCATACTCAATGCATTAATTTGACCTGTCTGTCTTCTGTCTAGTAGAGTGTGTGTGTGTGTGGGGGCCGAGGGGACATCGCGAATATTCTCTTTTTACAGTTATAATAATAATAGCTTATTTTCGCCAGAGAAATAGCTATGAGAAAAATTCTGATTTCTACTAGATTATTGATCGGATATAGGGTTGTCAATCATAACCTTCAAAATCCCATGAAATACCCCGTAGATGTAATTAGGCGTTTTTTACTCAGAAAAGGAAGGGGACAGGTTAATTTGCAGGATGGTGGGTTAGCTTAGGGCTAACTGAAGCTGACAAGCGCATTTGCCGGGTTGAAAATGAAAGAGTACTTATGGTAAATGGGACGGAGATAAATAACTTGATAAGAGACTCTGGTATTATCTAGGTTTGATGGAACTATGATGATAAATTGGTTTGAATAGCCTCCAAACACAAATTAGAGGAAACGTGAAAAAGGGCTTGGGAAATGCCAAAAAATTAATAAGATAATTGAATCTGGACGCTTTTATGAATATATGCAGAAAAAAAGTATTGTAAATATATATATCTATATATATCCCGGTAAAATTTACTATGAACCCTGAGCAACGCTTGGTTCCCAAGTTAGTATTACATATATGTGTTGGGAATTGTCTCTTATTTTCTTCCTTACTCTAAAACTGAACTATACGCCCCTGTTTGATCTATCGGAAGGTCTGGATTAGTCCAGTGCCCCAAATATCCTGTGTAGTATATATGTTGAGCCTACTCAGCACGGTCAGGGTCAGAACTCAGAAATCAGCTGATCTGGCGGACCCACTTCAACCAATCAGGTGATTTACTCTCAGGACAGTTAAAGTTCTCTCCGATTCTACTCATTTAGTTGCGTTTTGAACCTCAACAGGTTCAGACCTCAAAGGAAACAAGTTATCACGTATCTAGAGAAAGATGACCGCAGACAGTCAACAAAAGGTTGAAATCATGAGGCTTTCAGACATTAAAAAGGAAATAAAAAAGCCAAAATATGTCAATAGTACACTAGATCAGGTTCTGCTCTGTGACCGAATAATAGAACAAATGCTTAAAGGAGAGAAATTTTATATCCCTGTGTGTTCCAACTATATGCAGAGAGTGCAGACTGATATCACAGCTGGGATGAGAAAGACTGTGACTGACTGGATGCTGGAGGTGTGTGAGGATCAGAACTGTGCTAGTCAGGTTTTCCTTCTCTCAGTTCAATATCTAGACAGAGTCCTGAGTAGTTTAAAGATAATAAGATCTGAACTTCAGCTCCTAGCCGCAGCTTGTCTCTTTATATCCTCTAAACTGTGTGAGATCCAACCCTTATCCCTAGAGAAGTTGATAATCTACACTGATTGCTCTATATCCTCCTCCCAGCTTCTTTCTATGGAAATGAGGATCCTGGATAAACTAAACTGGGAACTCTGTTCTCTCACAAGCTTAGATTTTTTACAAATATTCATCCAAAGATATAATTGTTCTGAACCTGTGTTTAGCAGTGCTGCTACATTTCTATCTCTAGCTGCTACGGAATATCAATTCTACAGTGTGAAACCTTCATTAATGGCTGGAGCAGCCTTTCTAACGGCTCTTCAAAGAGCAGATGATAATAATACATGCGGAATTGAAAATTTACATTCTTCCCTCTCCTCTCTAATTACAACGGAGAAGGTAAAATTGCAATTTATTTCTTTTATAGATTGAAATCTCATTCATTACTCTAATCCAATTACTTTTGTAGTAACCCTTTTCTTTTTGTAGTGAAATTTAAATCAAACTGATTTCTTAAATCTATTTAATTTTTACTTGTTATAGAATGGACTTCTGCTGCTTTCCTCCTCCTTGAACAGTCGAGTCTTCTCCTGGTTGGATCAGAACCAGAACAGAAACCAACAGGAGATTGTTTAAACACAATCAGGAGAGAGGTTTCTCATAACAGGAGAAATTTTAAATCAGAAAAATAGTTTTACAATAAATAGAAAATGGATGTTAAAACGAGCAAGCAACCTTTTAAAACAGAACAGGAGATTCTATTAGGTGTTTGAACCTTGAGCAGGAGCTAATCTGAACATGAACAGGACCTGTCAAAAACCTGAGCAGGAGCTACTCTGAACCTAAACAGGAGCTGTTAAAAACCTAAGCAGGAGCTGCGCTAAACTCTGGCTGGAACTGTTCTAAACCTTAACAAGAGTTGTTCTAGACCAGAGCAGAAGCTGTCTTAACTCGAACAAAAGCTGTTTAAATCCCGAGCAGAAGTTGAACTATGCCGGGAAAGGAGATGTTCTAAATCTATATCCGAATTGTTCTAAACCTAAAAAATCGCCATTATAAATTGAACCAGGAGCTGTTATGAAATGTTTTAACCATGAGCAGAATCTGTTTCAACCATGAGCAGACGTTTTAATTGATCATGAACATGAGCTTTTCTTATCTCCAACGTAAGCTGTTCTAACCCTGAATAGGAGCTGTTCTAAACCTGAGAAGGAGCTGATGATGTTCGAAACCTACATAAGGAGCTGATGTAAACTCAAATAAAAGCTGAAGCTGTACTAAACATGAGCCGAAGCTGTTCTAAACTGGAGAAGGAGCTGTTCTAAACTGGAGCAGGAGCTGTTCTAAACTGGAACATGCGCTGTTTTAAACTGGAGCAGAAGCTGTTCTAAACTGGAGCAGAAGCTGTTCTAAACTGGAGCCTGAGCGGTTTTAAACCATAAAATCTTAATTTTAAATCTCAACAAGATTCTTTCAGAAAATATTCTAATATTGTCAAAATTACATATGACGGGCATTATTCCATTATAGTCATTTTCTTAGTTGTATAATTCTATACTGTCAAGTTGTATTAAATGTAAATATGTTATAAATAAGAAAAATTTAATACAAACAATAAAAAAATTGAAAGAAAATTGTTTGATTACTGATTTTATTTTAAACGTATAAAAAAGGTTCAAAACGGGATTAATTACAGGTTTGGAGGAAATTAAGTCTTGCTGCAATTCACAAACTCAAAATTTCTAATCCTGTTATCTTTGCAACCTGATGGTGTAGACCTTTGATATTTAATATTAATTTGTTGATCTGTAATAAATCCATTGTTTAAGATATCTGAGGTCTACGACGTTAGGTTGCAAAGTTTTGGATAATCTGTGGCAAAGACTAAAACTTATTTCACCAGTTAACAATAATACAAGTTATCCAAACAAACAAAACCATCAAAGGGAGAATAAAGGAAACATAAAAAAATAGTTGAAATGAAAAAAGCTTTTTCGTGATACATATATGTTTATATAATTAATATATATATTTTTTCTCCGGGGGTTTAAAAAATTGTTGCAAAGAGCAACGTAAACAAATGTAAAAAGTTAGAAAGAATTTTTAAAGTTTTATTTTCATGATAAATTCAAGGCGCTTCGCGCTCATCTTCTATTTAAATTGTGAACATGTTCTTTTTGTTTACATTTTAAAACAAAGAAGAAAAAAATTTTGCGGATTTAAAAAAAAAATTGCGGATTTTCAAGAATTTAATTTTTTTTACAAAAGTAAAAACCCTTTAAAATACATTTTTTTAAAATTTTTATCATTCATAAACTTTCCCTGTGGTCACGTGATGTCCCACAAAAAATTTGGACCCGATCGGTTCAGCCGTTTTGACGTATTACAAACAGACAGACAAACACCAAGACAAGCCAAATTTGTAAATAAATGAGTTAGAGTCACGCAGAAGGATATTTGTACCAATCCTGTGACCAAATTTAATAAGTAGCGAGAAGTAGTTTAACTACGTGGCGAAGTGGCTTAACTAGATCTACGTATTTCAACTATTTCTGGATTTCATTGAATTTGGTTATTGAGCTCTAAAAATTTGGCGGCTTATAAGTAATTCAGCTTGATTAAGAAAATTTCTATTCTGTAATAAATGGAAGCAAATTCTTAATATCTCAAAAAATTAGATGCTAAAAACATTAAAAAATGTATTTTTTAATAGTTTTTAATATTGGTAATTTAATTGCTTTATCTCACTGACTTGCTTTTCAACGATAAGCTTACATTTTCTCGGAGGTTCTCTGTACGTAAAAATTTCTTGCGGATGTTTTGCAATAGAAACAATGAAGATAATTTACAGAATTTTAACGACTTTATTTTCCGAATTTTTGATCAGAAGAAGATGTTTACGGGAATCGTTGTGAATGGCGGGCCACTTGAATTTATATCGAAAGAGCAAATTTCAATATAAAAAAATGAAGTTATTGCAAATCATCGTAAACCACCTATTTTTTTAAGAAAGATATAAAAGATAAAATTGTTAACAAGACATACAGGTCGTCTTTGCTAATTTAAAATGTTTAAAATCTGGATTAAACTTAAGGTTTGAAACACAAGAAACCCTCTTCTCTATCTTCTCTGCTAACTGAGTATTTCCAAAAAGTGACCATTTTACTAGCTGTCAATACCATAGAATACCCGGGATTCAACCATTAATTATTTTGACAACAAAAATATTTGTTTCAAAATAAAAACAAAATAAAAACGACCACGCGGCAATCACATCAGCCTTCAAGAATACGATTCCAGGGACAATTAAACTTGAATAGGCATGATTGTTTGTTTGTAAGGAAATAACAAATAAACTCAGATTCATCTTTAGACCAATTTAAAAGAATATTCCAAAGGAATTGAGTGTTTGCCACAAACTCTGATTTTCAAATTTCAATATCGTTACAACCCAATGTCGTAGACCTTTAATATTTTAAACTGTGAAGGCTATTAGATCAAATAATGTAAGTTTAAAATATCAAAGGTTTACATCATAAGGTTGCAAAGATATAGGTTTTACAAAAACTGGATTTGTGGCAAAGATTCAATTCCTTTGAAATTGATTGAAAAAAAAATCAAGAAACTTGTAAACATTGTAAAATTTATGTTTTTATTCGATATTAATGATTAAAAATATACCTTTTAGTCTTATTTTTTTATTCCAATTTCAACTTTAACTTATTTTGTATATTCTTGTGTATTGACAGAAAACAGTTTATCACAAATCTACAACAGTTCTGAGGAACGATTGGTTTCAATTTCAATCTTTTAAAGGATCTTTATTTTTAAATCAGAGCAAAAGCTGTCACAACATTTGGTTAAATCGATTTTCTTATGAAGAAGACTAAAAAGGCAATTAACAAATATAGAACTTATTTTTTTTGGTGGATTTCATCTCTATACTGGGATGGACTGCTTCACTGTTCCATTGGTTCGATTAGTCTGGGAGATTTATAGCTCTGTGATTTGAAATGAATGATTCTAAAGTATTATTGCTCTACACCCGAGCTCCATAGCCCTGTAATAAACACAGGAATTTCCTAAAATATAGGATAGTTCAAATTCAAATCTTGTAGATAATAGGACAGTTCAAACATTTCACAAAAACAGATTTAAATAAGAATTTAATTTTATTTGATGCAAAATTAATTATTTTTAGATTTTCTGACGGTTATATATCCTCTCAAGTCTCAATAAATTACAACCTCCGATGGTTTGTACATTGAATAGTTTTAGTCTTAATCATATATAGGTTACTTTTAAGTCATAAATATACTATACTATTAATACTAAAGTCTATGTTTTGTTTCATGTAAAGTTTATGTTTTGATTATTTCTATATTCTATGGTTGGTATCATCAATAGTCCCTGCACCAGTTATACAATAGTCTATGGTTGATATCGTGATTAGTGGCTGCTTTAGTATTTCTATAGCCTATGGTTGGTATCATGAATAGTCCCTGCTCTAGTATTACTGTAGTCTATGGTTGGTATCATAAATAGTCCCTGCTCTAGTATTACTATAGTCTATGGTTGGTATCATGAATATTCCCTGCTCTAGTATAACTATAGTCTATGGTTGGTATCATGAATAGTCCCTGCTCTAGTATTACTATAGTCTATGGTTGGTATCATGAATAGTCCCTTCTCTAGTATTACTATGGTCTATGGTTGGTATCATGAATAGTGCTAGTTATGACATTGTTCAAATTTTTGACATTTTTGAGTTGCCCAAGAACCATCATTACCTGCTCAATGTCAACCCTGTCTTTCAATTTTTTACAAAAATGATTTGTCAACATATTTTTTTATTTTCAAGGACACTTTTTATTTATAAATATTTGTATGAGTTCTGGTGGGGAATATTTACCCCTGATGGGCATGAACTGTAAGGCCTTTTTGTCCCCGCATTCCTAGCAATATTTTACAACTTTTTACGCTGGAAAAATTAGAACAAAAAGACAAACCTGACAAACATCTGCGGATAACAAACGAACATTTTTGAACTTCAAAAAATATTTCTTTTAGTGAGATATGCACATTTTTCTAATTGAACAATTACTATCAAATTTTGTGTAATTTATTCATTCTTTTCTTCTTTCCTTTGCCATTTAAAGTTTTATTTCTAAAATTGTTTCTTAAATCATGTAATGTTTTATTTTGCAGAGGAACTTTGTAAAAATTGTTATTTTCCCTGAATAATCTTTTTAATTTAATAGAAAATGAAAGTTTAGAGCTCCTTGTATTACACCCCCACTAAGAATGCAAAACACACATGTCTAAAATATCCTTCCAGTCTCCGCAGAAGTTTGATGAGTAATAATTTTAAACTATGAGAATTCTTTAAGTGTTAAAAAATATAAGCATTAGAACCCTCTTCCAAAGTTGACTTGTTAAGCAAAATTGTTTTTGACGCACATTTCTAAAATTGTTCAGAAATATTGATTTTTTTATTCAAACGTTTGAGTTAGAATTTTCTAGTTTTTGTACTTACCTAGCTTGTTCTCTTCCAAAAGAGAAATGTTAAAACTCCCCCAAATTGCTCAAAAATTATGCTCTTGTTATAAATAGTCCTTTTTACTATTTTATTTTTGGTTTACTTGTAGTCGGCTTGTTTTGAAATTTCCAATATCTGTCCGTATTTATGTAGTTCACTGCCCCCTGAAAGAGAGTATACCCCCTACTGAGAAAATATCCTATTGCTGGATACTCCTCCATCTATTCTAAACTACAAATTCTAAATTAGATCTTTTCCTTGAAACACTAAAACTATGGCTTACATTACAGAAGTTGGATGGTGGGGGAGGGGGGTCAAGTTTACAAAAAGACCTCTGATAACCAATAGACCTCTTTTACCATTTTAGGCATAAAACAATGTATTGCAAAATAAGAAGGGATCAAAAACTTAGTACCAGTACCATTTCTCTTACATCAGTACCAGCTCTGACGTTACTCTGATATTAGTCCCAGCCCTGATGTTACTCTTACATCAGCCCCAGCCCTGATGTAACTCTAATATCAGTCCCAGCCCTGATGTTACTCTCATATCAGTCCCAGCCCTGATTTTACTCTCAAATCAGTCCCATTCCTGATGTTACTCTCATATCAGTCCCAGCAATGATGTTTCTCTCATATAAGTCCCAGCCCTGATGTTACCTCATTTCATTCCCAGTCCTGATGTTACTCTCATATCAGTCCCAGCCTTGATGTACTCAATTATCAGTCCCGGTCCTGATGTTACTCTCATATCAGTCCCAGCCCTGATGTTACTCTCATATCAGTTCCAGCCCTGATGTTACTCTCATATCAGTCCCAGCCTTGATGTTACTCTCATATCAGTCCCAGTCCTGATGTTACTCTCATATCAGTCTCAGACCTGATGTTACTCTAATATCAGTCCCAGCCCTGCTGTTACTTACATATCAGTCCCAGCCCTGAAGTACTCAATTATCAGTCCCAGCCCTGATGTTACTCTCATATCAGTCCCAGCCCTGATGTTACTCTCATATCAATCCCAGTCCTGAAGTTACTCTCATATCAGTCCCAGTCCTGATGTTACTCTCATATCAGTCCCAG